TTATTCCAGATGCCTCTTTTCCCTTTGGACTGTTTAGTCCAGAGTGCGCGGTTCATATAACTTAAATACTTAGCAACTATATCAAGTTGGTGATATCAAATGAAAATGTGGGATGACATGGTGGATGATTTTGGTGTTCACCTACTTGACTTTTTCCTGACAATTTTTTCTCTTTGCTGTCAGCCATGAACCACATTTCCAGGTATGAAAAGACTGCAAGAATTCTTAAAAGAAGCATATCTGGCTTGGGAAATTCTAAACCCAGACATTCAGATCTTCAAGTCATTGTTTATTTTAGCTATTGTCTGTTAAATAACCATCATGGCCCAGCTGACATAGGGTAAGGCATAAAGACATAGTTTGCAAAACATGAGGGCTGAAATAACACATAATGCTGAGCTAAAGCCAAAGACACAAATTTAATGGTTTATTGTAATGCATAAACCCATAACCAATAATAAATACCTCTACTCATTCCTACAATGTTTTTTTGTGGCATAACAAGGGCAAGAGAGTCACGTCCTTGGACAGCCTGAAACTGTCAGACTTCCCAGCTGGCGTGGGCTTTCACAGGAACTAGGGGAAGGTAGAATTGTATGCCATTTCTTCTCTCCCTACCACCCCCAATTTCTTTAATGTAGAGGGTGGGGTTCCACAAAGTGCTAGTGAATGGTGGAAGTAGAACAGAAAAAGTAGCATTAAATTTTATTATCTTATAGTGCAATTTTGGGTGACATAGGAAACACCAGACTTCTATTTTCCAGTATTAGGAACTGGCTTTTTGACTAGTACAGTGGTTCTCAACCTGTGGGTCGGGACCCCATTTGGGGTCGATCGACCATTTCATGGGGGTCGCCAAGCAAGGCTGTCCGCCATTTTTTTGTCCGCCATTTTTTTTCCCTTTTCTGGCGGGTGCCTTACCTCCCTTGGGCTGGGCCAGCTGGTGGTCGGCCTGCTCCGTCTCTGCCGCTTGCCAGCTACACCTCGGCCGGCACAGGGGGCAGAACCACGCATGCGCGGCGCTCCCGGGCAGGGAAAGTCCTCGACTTAACGACCAGTTGGGTAGTTCTCGACTTACGACCGGTTTAGTCCTCGACTTACGACTGGTTGGGGTCACGGCATTAAAAAGGTTGAGAACCACTGGACTAGTATAACCATATGAGTAGCAAACAAATGTTGAGGTAAAGATAGCAAGAATGAGATTGAAGATTGTAATAATTTATCAACCCCAACCTTTTAGATATATAAACATTGGTAGACAAGACTACCTTGAGCGGAAAGATCATCTTGTCTCCCAAGCCAAAGTAAGGTTTCTAAAATTGGATACAGTTCTGTGCATTTTCCTTCAAAAACTTCAGAACCCCAAAATTTCATAAATGGCAGTTAGATGACAAAGGGCCTGTTTTGAATTGAGCCAAACAAATTGTAATGAATGACAAACACATTTCACTTAATTATTTGATTCACCTCAGGTACCTCATCCCCCACCAGAGACAAGAGGAATTTTGATGTTGGAGAATTTGAGGACAGGCATAATTGTGTGTGTGGAAGGTATTTTCTTCACAAATACAGAGTCCATAAACATTAGAAGCAGAACTCATTAATTAAACATGAGCACAATGTTGGGGTAAGGGCAAAATTTGTTACTTGTTTCTGCCAATCTTTACTTCTCTAATAATTCTTTCCTAATTTGTATGTATGTAGTATGAAGTTGAAAAAGACAAATTATGGAAACTACCTTCTCTATTGTTTTACTTATGACACGTCTTTTACAAACATTTACAGTTGTTGGAGAGCAACCTTCCCAGTAGGGAGGAGGGATCAAGCGGGAAATTAGCCTAGAATGATTGCGTAAACATAAGAGGGCAAGGTTTGACACCCCCTTATATGTCTTTGAGCCTAGTCTAGTCTTTTCAAGGTGAAAGCTGCCATTTGGGAAAGATTTCTGTGAAATAGGGGTAGAACAATAAAGTAGTTTGAACTCTACAAGTGTGGGCCTGGTTGTTTGTGCCTGGCAACAGTTTACAAAATGCTTGTAAAATTCTGCCTAGTCAAGGCCCTTAACTTCTGGAAAAAAGCTTGACCACCATCACAACAGAAACATTACTTGAAGAAATGGGACTTCAATCAATTAAAGTTGAAAGCCTGTGAACAATTCTGTTGATCTCAGGTGATCTGCTTGCAGAAATACAACTGAAAAGAGCACATGCCGTTCATGTAATGCAGTGTTTCTCAACCTTGACAATTTTAAGGCATGTGGACTTCAACTCCCAGAATTCCACAGCCAGCATTGCTGGCTGTGGAATTCTGGGAGTTGAAGTCCACATGCCTTAAAATTGTCAAGGTTGAGAAACATTAATGTAATGCCTTAATAAGAGAATTATGTGTTGCATGCTAGTCAAAAATGGTCATCTAACCCAATACATATAGGAGCTTACATAAGATTCCAAACTGGCATACAGTGTGTAATTTTGCTTTCTTTAGAGTTTCAACATTACAGTAGAAGACTTCTCCTTTATCTGAAGGTGTAGACATACCCTGCTGTATTGGCTATTTAGGAAACAGCAGATTGAATCTCTCATTCAGTAGCTTATAAAGGCTCTCCCTAACTAGAGGCTGCTTTTATTTGTTTCAAAAACAATGGATCAGTGTCCCAGACTAGCATTTCTGTTGTAATGAGGACTAAGCATCAGATAGATCCTGCATTGTCTGCTGATGTATTTGCTTACACAACAGGGAGCTGACTCTGGCACGCTGGAAGAGTGGAAACACAGTAGAGCCTTGATATCATTTGACATTTCTCTTTACAAATCAGTCCATTATCACTCCTAAGCTACATTTAAACATACCAGATATAGGCCACTCTCTTTCCCTGTCATTTGCATTATACTCAGTTAGAAGCGATTCAAAACTTGTTTGCATAAAGATTTCAGGCCAGTGTAAACCAACATATCACAAGGAAAGCTTGAGACAAGCCACGTTTCTAGTGGCTCCAATCATTGAAACTCAATTCCTATTAGCTTTGCCATGACAACAGGCTTAGTCACTCAAGTGTCAAGAGCACGGGTGTCAAACTCGCCACGTCACATGATGTGTCACAACATATTGCGACTCTTTTTGCATTGCCGGCAATAGGGTGGGCCCAGCTTCGGTATGATGAAACCAGCCCCTCAGGCTGGCAATTTGACACCCTTGGTCAAAAGGAACAGAGATCAGGTTTGACTTTCCCCTAGAGGACAGAAAGCAGGGTCAGTCAGGACCTCCCACATTCCCTCTGTGTATTGCACCTTTAGCACTGTGAGAGGCTTTATAGATTAAGGCAGGTTACAAGAATTGGAGGATTGCACTTCAGTCAGATAAGGTCAGGACTGGAGTAGAAACAGCTGCAGGTGGATGAGATAGTTTTATAAACCAGTGCCATCTGCTGGTATACACAAAACATGTTTTAATATCAAGAATCTGTACATGTTGATACCATTTAGTGGAGAGAAGAGGAGCTGTCATTCTTTGGACAACTCTGTAGTTAGAAGGAGGATAATTTTTTGAGCAGAACCTTTTGCAGAACAAAGGGAAAAAGAGAATAACTTGGAAGCAATAAATTGTTGGTGTTCCTGAAAAGAATGCTATTGTCTCTCATGTTTCAGCTTACTGTGGTCTTAGATCAAGGCAGATAGGCAGAATTATGGCTCACCGAGCTGAATATTGAAATTCTGTTGGTCTCAATACAAGAGGTTCAAGGTTGAACTGTGGAGTTCTTGATGCTCAATACAAGAGAATTATCTGTAGCTCGAGGTTTAATTGTGGAGGTCTTAGTGCTCTCTAAGCTTGTTTATTCGCAGATGTTTCATTACCCAAATAGGTAACATTATCAGTTCAAATGTGTGTGTGTGTGGGGGGGGGGGGGTTATTGTTTATACTGCCTTGACATTTTGGAAGAGATGTACTTTATGGTCTACCAATGAGTTGCAGTAACTTACTATAAGGTTCAAATGCTTTATAGATTGCAACTATTATCAGACAGCAGAAATTATATCTATAGTAGATCTTGATTCAGTGTCATCAGCCTGTATTTGACTTGGCAGTTCTTATGGGCTTCCATATATTCCTCCAAAAGAGGAGGAACTAATGTTTTATTAGCTATTGTGATTCAAACCATTCAAAATTCCAGACAGGGATATACCTTGCTCAGTGGAATATTGCTAGAACCTTATATCCAGTCAATATTTTGGATTACAATTCCCATCCCTCCCAACTGCCAATGCTGCATGGGGTTTATGGAAAAACCACATCCGTGAACTATTGCTGAATGGAGGCAGGATATGAGCACAAGGTCAAATTTCATATAAGTGATATAATGAAGCAAAGCTTTTGCTGCCCCGGGGTGTTATCCAGGACAGCAAAGGTTCTGATCAAGCTGGTAAACAACTACAACCAGAATGAAATAAACAAGGTAAAGAGGATATGAAAAGAAGAAAAAGCTAACATCACAGACCAGGGTGGCCTTCCAGATTTTGTTTAACCTCTATCTAGTTCAGAGGCCTTCAAACTTGGTCCTTTTATGACTTGTGGACTTCAACTCCCAGAATTTCTCAGCCAGGCATACTGGCTGAGGAATTCTGGGGGTTGAAGTCCTCAAGTCATAAAAGGGCCAAGTTTGAAGTCCCCTGCTTTAGTTCCTCTCAGTCCTAGCCCACTTGGCCAACGATGAAAGTTCTGTTTAAATTATCTGGTCATCCAAACTCAGAATATGTGCTTCATAGATTTCTGGAGAAACGTATGGAAAGGATTAAGTGGTAGAATTGTTCTTTTTCCACAACAAAGATGCAAGGTCAGAAAATGTACCACTGTACTTTAAAGCTTATGATTGTCTAATGACTGAGCTATTCAGGTGTTTTTAACTAGCCAACTTTATATAATGAGAATATTGAATCATCTGATTGCTGTCTGATTTCAATCCTTTACCCCTAAACACACAAAAAGTCCACATTTTAAAACAATTGTTTTCCTCACTATAGTTTAATTTCCTTGTATTTGAAAACAAACACTTCTGGTTGTTTTTTTAAAAAAAAAAATCCTCCAGCAGATGCATGGAACAAATACCATGTACATACACAAGTCACAGCCAAGGAATACTCCTTCTCCAAAAGGACTGGGCCCATCTAATACATAACGTATTTATATATATAAATCTAAAAAAAAAGCAATTTAGTGTTTAATGCCCAGCAAAATATAAAGGCCAACAAAGAAAAATACCCCCACCCACCAACCCCAAATAAAATCCATCTTTGAGACAGGAATGTTAGGAGCACCTCCTAAAGATGCCGGGGAAGGTAGTTAACTGAAAACAGTTTCAAAGAGAAGGAACTTAGCACTGCCCTTCTCCATTGTTCCTGGAATGACGAATGCTAAGCTCTTTGTGCTTCAGTCAGCTCTGCTGATACATTCTAAAGAAATAAAAACTAAGAAAGAATGAAGCCCTATCTGGTTAGGTTACTTGGGGGACTTAACATTTACATCTGAAAACATGCAAGTCAGTAGCAGTCACCCAATTAATTGTCTCTCTGTCCCCGTCCCTCATGGGTTGATCTAATGACATAGACAGTTCTTAGGACATCCCATCTGCTTACTCACAGGAAAATCCTGAAGAGGAAAATAAATTAACCTTTTGTTTAGTAATGGGTAGCCAGGCTGATCAACCTTGTTGGATATTTTTCTCTCAGCAGCTTTATGCATCTCCAAGAGTGTTTTCCTACCGTAGAAAGAGCCATGTGGTCACTCTAAATGGTAACAAAATTTTAGAAATGGGGAAGTCTGTTTCAAGCTAGGTTAAATTTTTTATTCTTTCCATCTCTGGTTCCCTCAAGAACTAAGAGAAGGTCCTGCTGTAGATGGCAGACATAAGAGGTGTAATTCTTCTCAATCTGCTTTCCAAAGAGTTCTGTCATATGATTTTTAAAAAGAAATATAATGAGATTTCCATTGGTGGTAAATACTTCCAGAGGTCTGCCCAAAGGAGAACATTATTGGCATCCAAATATGTAGATTTGAAAGATCTGGTTATTTCAAACTCCTATTTTTTTTCCTTTCTAAAAACATATAACAACCTGCATACTATTGCAAGGTGAAGAAAGGAATTCTCCTTGGAAATACAAAGAAAAAAAATCTTAAAAGCACTAGTACAAAGGTAAAGGAAAACAAATAAAAATATATTTACATATTAATAGGGAAACTAGTGCTTTTGAGCTTTGTCCTAATATTCAGCTCTGTATTGCTTTAAACAGGCAAGTAGATAAGTTAAAACCAAGAGCTATCCTTTTCAAAAGAAGTTTGAATATGCCAGATTTGTGTCAAACATTTTTCCAAATATCTTCAAGCATCTACTTTAGGCATCCCTATGAACATAGGAATCAATTATTTTAAAAGTACAAAACACCATTTATATGTGATTTCCAACTTGACCCTTGCAATACACCCAAATGGGGAAAGAAAGAAATTTTTTTTCCCCAGCAGCCTATTTAAGAAAGTAATCATGATGAAATCTGCAGCCTAAGAAGGCTGGTGAAAGCATTTAAAACTGTTTTTTTTTCTTCGTATCATGCTGTTTATTCCAGATTCAATTGCATTTTCTCCTTCAACTCAAAGGGAGTATACGGCTTTTTATACTCTTATCTCTTCATCTTCCTCATCCATGAAGGAGAACTCCTTCTCTGGCTGTTTCACAGGGTTGTGCCTCCCATCACCTGGAAGGCTGTGGCTGGGTCCTTTAGAGGCTACGCTTCGCTGTTCCTCCCCCATGGACACGCAGCTGGATACCGAACTGCTGTCTATGGTCGTACGACTGGTGATGCTGCGAGCCGATCCAGGACTGTAAGTGACCACTCTGTGGCCATCATTTTGAATCACAGAATCCAGGACAAGTTTGCTTTCGTGGCTAAACCACTGGGCTGCTGATGTCTCTATGGAGCCAACTTCCCTTTGGGGGTCCTCTGCTCCATGGTAACCAGAGTCTTCTTGTTCCCACAAGTCCTTATCCATAATGCCCAAGACGTCCCCTAACATGGAAGGCCCCAGATCAATATGGAAAGAAAGGATGGACTCAGCATGCTTCATGCCGTAGCTGTCCTTGGGAATGACTAAAGGCAAATCAGTCACATCCCCAAAATCACGCTCTTCCGAGCCAGGACTGTGGGGCTTGGAGTTGATGACTTCAGCAGCACCATTTGTGTGTTTCTCTTGAAGGATGTTCTCCTCGGGGGTTTTCTTCACAGGACTGGAGGAGAGGCTCTTGGGTAGCTGCTTCCCACCACTCTTGTCTACTTCCTTCTCGGTGAGTTGGGGTAGGGATACTGCATTCTTCACAAAAATAGCTGAATCCCTCAGAGAGCCCAGCATATCCCGCCGGTCACCACGCGTCACGGAATGAGACCGCTTGCTGCTGCGAAACCTCCGTGAGAGCAGGCCAGGTTTGGAGAAGGAGCTGGTCTCCTCCGTAGCTTCCTGCTCTCCCTCCCCACTCTTGCTAGTGAGGAAGGAGGTATCTCCAAAGGCGTCCCCAGCCCGGCCCACATGCATGGTGTGACGGAAATCACCAAGAGGAGCGCTGATCATCTCAGTTGTCAGATCAGCCCGAGACCGGCGTTTAGGATTAGCAGAGTTTGTCACCAGCTGCTTCAATATAGGCATTTTTGTTAGACGTGTGAACTTGGATTGCACGTAGATCAAAGTATATTTCTGTAGTTCCTCAGGGAGTCCTCAAACCTCTTCTGGCCGTCTAATATTCCAAGCCTAAAACTTTAAAAAAGAGAAAAATGTTACAACACAGCTGAAGAAAGGAAATGCCAACTTCATTTTTGTAACTCTATGAGAAGCAATTCCTCAGGCCTCTCTAACTTTTCACTTTTATCATTGGCAAGACTATTTTGAAAGATTGACAGCTGAACATTCTTACAAGGCCACTGTTGAGGTAGTCCTCAGCCTACGGCCACAACTGAGCCCAAAATTTAAGTGAGTTTGGCCCCATTTTACGACCTTTCTTGCCACAGTTGTTAAGTGAATCACTGCAATTATTAAGTTAGTAACACAACTGTTAAGTGAATCAGGCTGCCCCCCTAGAGTTTGCTTGTCAAAAGGTTGCAAAAGGGGATCACATGACCCCGGGACGCTGCAACCGTCATAAATACATGCCAATTGCAAAGCGTCTGAATTTTGATCACATGATGCTGCAATGGTTGTAAGTGTGAAAAACGGGTCGTAAGTTACTTTTTTAGTGCTGTTGTAACATCAGACAGTCAGTAAACGAATGGTTGTAATTGAGGACTACCTGTACAAGGGACAAAGAAATTGTTTTCAGAAATTCCTCCCTTAAAAAAGGGGCCCTGGCTGATTACGTTTTACAATGTGAACAAGACTACAGGACTGTAACTTAAAATCTCAGTGGCAATGAAGACTGTATGTAATCATGACTAAACATGGACATTAAACACTAACTTGCCACCCTCCCTCCTTTGCAGAAATTTCTTATTTGCTTGGAAGTAGGATGTACAGGCTGTATAGCAATCTGAGAGCAAATACAGAAGGCCCACCAGTTCCACGAAAGGAGAGCTGTGGGTTATGCTCACAAGAGAACTGAAGAATCCTTAAGACTATGCTTTTCTATTCTTCTCTCTCTAATGTACACATCTGTTCATTCATTTGTGAAACTCTCTCCATTTTTGGTATCTAATTTCCCCTGAAATAGTAAATTTGTCTCCCGGATTAGTATTTCTCCAATTTTTGTGTCTAAAAGGTAATCTTACTCAAGATTTGGCTGCTACCAAGATCAACTATTTTGTCAGTACTTTCTAGCCATAAATAGTTAAATTCAAAATATTGCTTTTTTTGCTTCGGCCTTGCTCTGTGGATAAACTGGTTTTACAGATATTTTAATAGGCCTGACCTTACCACAGATATGTATCAGTTAGGTAACATGGACTCCTATTGGATAATGCCAATGACATCATTTATGGTAATATTTTCTCCACATACCATGCCCAGTGCTGCTTATATATTTTTTATTATGTAAACTCTCTTAGGATGGCTTAAGACTGCATGAAAAACTTTGATATTCTACATACGGACTTCTTAAAACTGCTTCAATGTTTAAGATTTTTATAGTTTTTTTTTAAAGATGTACTCTTCCCATTCAGTCAGTCTGTCAGTCTTTTTTTAAAAAAGATGGTTTTCCACTAAAACAACAATGTCCAGAACAGAAATGTTGCTGGCAGTAAATACAGATTCGCATTAAACAAGAAAAAGCATATATAGTTGGTGGAAAAATTATCCTACACCTCAGTCCAATTCCATTGGTTAATAGCAAGCTATTAGTAGTGGATCAAACCTTCACTTGACTTGTAGGAAGTATCTTCAATTCCACTGAAGCAGTTTATGCATAGCATCAATTATGGGCAGTGCAACTGATAAGAAACAATCTTGTTTTTTTAAAAATGGTTGGAACCATAAACAGATAATAATGGTCCGATGCAGCTTAGTATTTGGGGAATAAATTAATTTGAAAAGAGAACCGTGACTTAAAAATAAGTGTGCAAATAAAAAAAAAGTCAATCCCTAAACTAGGTGATTTGTAAACAACATTATGCCTCTCTTCTAGTTTCCTCATTTCAGAAGGCAAGGAGAATGAAGTACAGCAAGACATTACACAAAGCACATTCCATAATAAGTCAAATAATCAGTGTCTGAAAACGACATCCAGCAATAAAATTAACCAAAGAATGACCATTATCTTCCATTGTGCTTATTAATAGCAGTGTTACCAGTCTACTCAGAACTATGTTCCACAGGTCCTTCTTCCCATATTAAATATTGCCCTCTAACGGCAATATGGAGCGTGCCTTTTCCGTAGTGGCCCTACCCAGGATCTGGATAGGATCTCCACACACATGAACTTCTGGAAGTCTTACAGACTTGGCTCTTCCTCCAGCATTGGGACAGAGTGAGATAGGAGCCTGTGGATGGCTTGTTGGGGGCATCCCAGGAAGATGGACGACGCACCTTTTTTAAAAATCACTTTTTAATTGTTTTGTAATTTTATTGTTGTTGTGAGCCACCCAGAGCTGTGCTTTAAGATAATCCTTGGTTACTATTTGTTCAGCGACCGTTTGAAAATACAATGGAACTGAACATTTATGACCAGTTCTCAAACCTGCAGCTGTCATAGTGTCCTACAGTCACATGATCATCATTTGCAATTTTCACAGCCAGCTTCCGGAGGGGGAAAGTCAATGGGGAAGCTGGCAGGAAGTAGCAAGGTCACATGACATTATGCATGACAAACGTAGGTGATTTGCTTCACAACCACAAGTGGAACTGATGTTGTAAGATGGGTTGTCATGTCAGTCGTGTGGTGTTTTACTTTACAATTGCATTGCTTAGCGACATAATTGCCTTTCCCAATTGCAGTTGATACGTAAGGACACCTGAGCAAATCTTTTAAATACATAAAACCCACTTTGTTGTAGCCAGAGCCAGATTTAAGTGAGATTACATCTTTTTCAGTCTTGAAAGAATGCCTGAAACAGATTAGCCAAATTGTGTCAGAATACAAGTAAAATCACTCATGTATAGAGAACCTCCCTGTTAGAAGTAAATCCTGCTTAATCCTTGTTTTGATCAGGTAGTCTACTCTGAAAGCACCACACACAATAAGCAAGCATCCCACATCTGAGGCAGATATACTGCCATTCCCCCCCAAGTGATTTAGCCTGCCTATGGTTGTCATTTTGTCAAGTTGGCCATGGAGACATGACATGACTGCATGTACTACATGAGCATGCCCCACCTTATTTTAGGAGAAGCACTGAAGAGCATGCAATGGTAGCCTGGAATCCGCTAATTACTCTGAACTATTCAGAGGTTTCTGTCCTTAAGAAAGCTTGAGAGCAAAAGTCACTACTTCAATCCCTTTGTAATGATTAATGTAATGTGCCATCTTCAGAATCTGAATGCACTGCTTTTATGATCTGAGACTTAGTAAAGGTATGCCAGTGGGGAAGAATGGAAATCAAAACATGTTTTCATTTCCATTAAAATCACAAAACCATTTAAAATTTGTATTGCCTTAAGGGAAGCGCCAGTTTGGTACAGTGATTAAGGCATTAGGTTAGAAACTAGGAGAAAGTGAGTTCTAGTCCTGCTTTGGATATAAAACCAGCTGGGTGACTTTGGACCAGTTACTTTTTCTTGGCCCCAGGAAAGAGGCAGTCTCAAAACTCTTGCCAAGAAAACTGCAGAGAATCGGACATAAAAGGCAGAAAATAAAAGGGGAAGGTTGAAAGTAAAGTCTCTTGAGTAAAACTCAACATCTTAAGACATGTAGTCATCTTAACAATAGTATAGATGTAGTGCATCATTGCTTTCTTTCAAGATTTTTTTTTTTAATTTCCCAATCCAGCCTTTTATCTAAATACTAGCTAGATTTAACCAAAGGTATTTAATTTTTCCAAGATCAACCAAGTTTACCTAGGAATGCCACCTGCTGTGATCCTGGGAGAAGAGAAATTCAAAACAGAATAGGCATGAGAAAAGCAAGTGCTGTTAAGAAGTTGCAGACTGGGATGGACAACCTCTGCAACGTGAACTGTCATACGTGTACTGTCCTCATTGCAAATGGGAGGGGGGACTCAACTTCTTGAACATACTTCGTGCTGTGGCTTCATGTAAAATCCAAGCTTCTACCTGTTAAATAAAAATCTAATACTTGGCAAGGCCTCACAAATTAGGCCTGGCAATGGGACAGGCTTTCCCCGTCATTGGGGAGCAGAGCTTGAGAAAGATCTGTCCTTTTGTGACAGGCAGAATAAATCATGCAAAGTAAGCAACATTTAGACATGGAACATCCTAGTCTGTGTTGTTTGCTTAGTTAGTGTATGGAGGTTCCAGAATGTAACTTTACAGTACTGATGCAAATCCCTGACAGTCTCCACACATCAGAATATATATAACTGAGTTCATAATATTCTTAAGACCATACAGGAGAAGGATTCAAGTTCTCTGTCATTGAATTTACTAAGCTAAAGGAACCAATTTTTTGGTTTTAGCCATACCCCCAGTCCTGCTATGAAAAATGCCTTCTAATATTTAGGAGACAGTTTTCAACTTATTCTTGTTCCCATCATATCTCTAAAGTAGTTTGATTAGCCTCTGATCTATTGACCATGCTTGATCACACATCACTGGGCAGTATTAGATGAGCCATTGGGGGAAAAATGTTCCTTTGCTTGACCAGCTACCTAGATGAACAATTTCTACTATTCATGTTTCAACAATGGTATTTTTGTTCCAGTTAACATAGCAGTGAAAACACCAGGAATGCTGCAAAGAAAAATATATTGAAAACCAATGAGATTTTTACAATTTCAGTCCACTATTGTCACATTCAATGCCATCTTAACTCATCAGAGGAGAAGCTATGCTGCGAAGTTATAAGGAATTCTGCCCTCCAAGGACTTGTAATCCTAGTATCTATTATGATGGCCTTCTTAAAGAAGCAGGGTTGGTGCAAATTAACTAGGAGAGAGACATTGATTTATCTGGTCAATGGTGCTTTTGCATATATTTCCTGGCTTTCTGTAATACAAATTCTGTCTTCGCCCAAAAATACAGCTGGAATCCTGCTACTCCTTATGAATTTTGGATCAAATAGTCACTAGGAAGGATGAATCAAAAAGAGTACTGTAATTATCCCAGACTCCCAAAAGATTCTTATATCAAAAATTACAAAACAGCTA